GAGAGACTGGGATGTGACGAAGCAGCAGCTGGGGAGAAGAAGCTGTTGTGGGAGTCTGTGTGTCAGACAGGGTACTACTGTGTGTCAGAGTACCAACCTGATAGGTTCAGGTGTCTGTTGGTTAGCCAGAACTGATAGGTTCAGGGTCTGTGCTTTAAGTTAAGGTTCTGGGTGAACCAAACTGTGTGTATGTATGAGTGAAACCAAGCCACGTTACTTTATCTATTCACCTGATTGTTTATTTTTCCCTGTGTGTATTTAAATAAACCTTATTCTTTTTATTGTTTAAAAATCCATCCCTGGTCTGTGTGACTTCTTAAAGGGAATGGTTGGTGGCAGCTTAGTGTAACTGTGTGACACATCCCAGTAGGTCTGGGTTTGTCACAGGTATATCACGAGCTAACTGTAACAATGTCTTTCTCCATTTTTGGGGATCCACCACATGTCTGTTCCCTTCTTGATCTACTTGACACAACAAACCTTCTTGCATTTCAAAACCGGAGTTGCCTTTTACAGTTGTTCCTCCCTCTTGGGCCTCTCTCAGGACTTCTTGTAAAGTAGGATCATCCTGCTGCCATAGGCAAGTTTGTTCTTGCAAGGTATTCTCTAGAAAGTCATTCTCATCCCTTTGTCCTTCGCATGGTACTTGTAAGCATTCTTTCAGTTGTAATAGTTTGTGAGCCCCCACCCAATCACATCCTAATAACGTATCTCTTGTTAACCCTGGCATGACTCCTACTTTTAACTTGGTTAACTCTGTTAATGCTCACTCTGTTCTTTCTCTTTTTGTTCTACAGTTCCTTCACATAGGGATGTGCATAATGGAAACTTTTCTTGTTTTTTGTTTTGTTTCAGAATGTGCCTCTTCAATTTTGTGCATGGCTCTTTTTGTTCACCAGGAAAGAGAGTCACTTTTTGTTCACCAGGAAAGAGAGTTACAGACGTAAAGATAGATGAAGTCTTACACACAATAAGAATGGCCCAAACAGTTCTCATGAGGCTTAATAATAACATTAACATTAATAATAAAATTCATAAAAATGTATGAAGAAAGCAGGCCACAAATCACACCATCTCCGGTGCCTATAGAGTATACAAATGTCAGTTGTATGGGAAACAAAAACAAATGGAAATCTTAGCTCAGGAGAGTACATATGACTTGATAGGAATAACTGAAAATTGGTGGGAAGACTCCCATGACTAGAATACTATAAACTGTTGAAAAAGAAAAAAAATTAGAGAAAGTGAGGTGGAGTTCCAGTATATGTGAAAAATACACATTCCTGCACAGAAATACAGGAGGCAGAAATTGGCTCTTCCATTGAGAGCATTTGGATCAAAAGGCTACTATGCTATCAACTAATGCATTATAAGATTAAGTCACAATGTTACAGAAGTAATCAGTCCTACCATGAACTCAGTTTTACTCTTATTTCCACTCTTACAAGCAGGGGCAGGACTGATTTGTATTTAGAAGATAGACCACCAGAAAGTAAGAAGTATCTCCAGGTAGACTAGGAAAGAATCTTGCCTATTACCCTGGAGAGTCAAAGCTGAAAATACTGGGCTACCTGAACCAATGGGCTAAACTTCCAGAATTACCCATAAATTATACGCAGTAGTGCCTCGCTAGACAGTTACCCCGCATGACACTTTTTTCGCTAGACATTGACTTTTTGCGATCGCTATAGCGATTCACAAAATGCAAGACCATTTGTTCGCTAGACAATGGCTTTTTGCGATCACTATACCCTGCTTCGCAAACCGATTTTCGCTAGACGATGATTTTGACAGCTTCCTCCACGCTTGCAAAACAGGTGTTTTCGGGACCTAAGCTTCACAAGACATTGATTTAAACACCTGATCGGCGGTTCGCAAAGCGGCTTTCCTATGGCCGATTTTCACTAGACAACGACGATTCTTCCCCATTGGAATGCATTAAACAGGTTTCAATGCATTCCAATGGGGAAATGCTTTTCGCTAGACAATGATTTTGCTAAACAGCTATTTCAGTGGAACAGATTATCGTCGTCTAGCGAGGCACCACTCTGTGTGTGTGTGTGTGTGTGTGTGTGTGTGTGTAAATATATATACAGACACACAGTGGTGCCTCGCTAGACGACGATAATGTCCAAATAGCTGGAAATGATACTCAGCTTTTCTTGTTTGCAAAAGAACTAAAAACTTATTAATACAGTGGTGCCTCGCTTAACGAGTGCACCACATAACGACGAAATCGCATAGCGACCCGTTTTTTCGGATCGCTAATGCGATCGCTTAACGTTTTTCTTATGGGGCACAATTCGCTTTGCGAAGACCTGTAAGCATTTCGCTTACCGATCTTCGCAAAACGAAGCCCCGACGATCAGCTGTTCGGCGGCCAAAATGGCCGCCGGAAGCCCGGAAATGGCCCAAAATGGCCGCGCGCAGCGTTTTCGCGCCCTCGTTAAGCGAGGCGAGGGCGCGAAAATGGCTGCCGGCCATTACAAAGCTTCGTTGAACGGTGAGTATTTGGCTCATTTGGAACGCATTAAACCATGTTTAATGCGTTCCAATTGAAATCCCTGCCCCGTTCAACGATGCTTCAGCATAGCGAAGGTTAATCCGGAACGGATTAACCTCGCTATGCGAGGCACCACTGTACATAGGATACTGTATATTGTATCCTACGCTTCCACCATGGACCTAGGGTTATCACCCACCTTTGTCTTCATATTATGCACAAGGACCACATGGCTTTAAACTTTTTTTTATTAGAACCTCATTTAAAAAGAAACTACTGGGCAACTCTTAAATTGTACCTGGATGAATGTGCATGTCCATTTAGATAACAGAATTGTGCTGTGGTCCAATAAGCTCTCAGCCAAAAAGCCAGTTGTTAGTTATAGAAAAAGATCTAAAGCAGAAAAAGTAACTTTTTTACTTCACGTGTAATCTGACAAGGGCTGTGATGGTAAAGATGAGAGCCAGATATGGGCAGAGCCAGTAGCTTTACTATTTCTATGGGAGTTTTCTGTAGGATTTTGCAACACTGTTGGATTACCTGCTGAGCTCATCAGTTGCCCTCTGTGCCATGCCATCATTGTGTGCCATACGAAATTAGACCTCAAGCTATCAAGATTTCATACTCTCAGCCACTATACCAGATTTTATTTCCAATTTAAGATGAAATACCATCTTGTCTTAAGCAATCTGATTGGGCAATTTGAGAAGAACAGTCTTCTCAACCAATCTTGTAGTAGCATCTCATTATCTTTTGCTCTCTTCAAAGTTAATGCAATTCAACTTCTGAACCATTAAATCAGACTGCTTAAGATAAGAGATCTAAGAATAACATATTTGAAAAATTGTTGCCTCTAGATGTGGACACAGATATACATGATTTCAAATCAAAAGTATGAAGTCCATGCATCCTATTTGCATCATTGCTGTTGGAATCTACGTGCTACAATCCATCTAGATCTATAGCTGTAGCTAAATTATCAACTTTAAAAGGCAGAATCAGAGGAAAATACAGTACAAGAATGTTTCTAATTCCTATCTTACAATTGTTAAAACTGAGGGATGGCATGTCAAAACAGGGACTTCTCGGCTCTTGGCCCCCCCCCAACTTGGAACACCCTCCTATAGAGATCCGCCTGGCTCCGACACTTTTGGCTTTTCGGCGCCAGGCAAAGACCTTTCTGTTTAGCCAGCATTTTAATTAAATAGTATCCTTTAGCTGGCCGTATGAGCAGGAGGATTTATTAATGATAAATTGTTTTAATATTGGGTATTATTTTAATGATTTTAAATGTGGTTTTAAAAATTTAATATTACTGTAGTGTACTGTATCATTGGTAATGCCGCGGCTAAAAAAATCTGGTAAATAAATAAGTAAATAAAACTGAAAGTTTATCAGGTTTATCAATGGGCTAAATCTGAGAAATTACTTTCAGTTTTAACAATGGTGAAATTGTTAATCTGACTGGGACATGTGGAAGCTTAAATCTCATCTGTCTGCAAATAAACTCCTCTGAAATCAACTGTACTTGCTGAAGTCTAGATATATACAGCAATGCACCATAAAGCTCTTGTGAACTGTTTGACTGAGTACTAAATAATACCCTAACTAAATCAGGAGTTTCATACAAGCAATTACAATTGCTACAAGAGCCCTTGAAGTCTGGCCCTGTTTACAGAAAAGCACCTTTCATTTGCCAAATAAATTTGGAGAGGATCAGACTGCAACAGGTACGGGCCACAAACAAAACTATCCCTTCGTGACTGATGGCCTCCCTGCAGTTAATTTTAACTTCAGCTATATATCCAGATGGGATACAGCAAACGGGAGGAGGAGGGGAAGCAAAGAAGAAGGCGTTTTGCGTTCTAAATGCCAAACCTGGCCCTGGTCCAAATGCTGTCTGGCTAAAATAAAACCACCAAAAGTGAAAAGAAACTACGGTTTTAAAAGCCTGTTCTCCTGTCAGCCATTTTAGATTCCTAAGGTGAACCGAGCTTTGCAAGAAATCCGGAACAGCAGAACCGAGATCTTCGTCTAGCAGCTACTCAGGGAACCGCCGCCGAGGAAAACTTAGCAGCAAGCACAGCCGCAGGGTGTCTCTGAAGGCCCACGGGCCTAAGGCATCCCACCCGGCCTGACAGGAGGTGGCCCCCGCCCCGGTTTCTCCTCAGGATCACAGCCAAGGGGGGCGCCGCCTCCTTTCTCCCGGCCCACNTCCCAGCCCACCGTGAGAAACTCCCCCCCCCGCGAGCGGGGTGGGGGTGGGGCTCCCCCTGCCTCGGGGGGGGCGCCTCTTTCTCCCCCTCCCACCCAAACAGCGGCGCTTTCACGCAGAGGAGTTCCTCGCCCACTTCCCACCCGCACCCGGAGGCCGCCGTTTTCGGAGCGACCCTCTTCCTTCCCGCCTCCCCTCGCGTTTCAACTCCTCGCCCGGTAAAACAAACACATAAAAATGGAGACACATCCGCTGGGGCACCTACGGCCGCCGCCTCCCCACCTTGGCGCCGGGGGGCAAAATGAGCACGTGGCTGCTGCTGCTGCAGCCGCTGTTCCCCTTCTCGCCCCTGCTCTCGCTGCCCTCGCCGCCGTCCTCCTCCTCCTCCTTCTTGGCGGCGTCTTTCTGCGCCAGGGCCGCGTTAAACGCCACCTTCACCATGACTGCAGGGAGTTCTCGACGAAGACGGAAGGATCGGGGGTCAAAAGCGGGCAGCTGCGGGCGACAGAAAGGCGATCCCAGCGGGGGCTTTCGATTCGGATCAGCTCCCTTCTCGGCGCGCACTGGAGGCAAAAGCAGGCGCTGAGCTCTCGCTCCTGCCTTCCCTCCCTCCTCCGCCTTCGCTCAGGTGCCAAACCGGTCCAACCCAAGGCAGAGGGGGGGGGGCTGCGCGAAAGACGCAGAACGTGGAAGAGGAAGGCTGCAGGGAGGGACAGCTTTAAAAAAAAAAGGAAGACGCGGACGAAGCACTTGCAACGGCAGGGGTCAAAGCAGGGGCCCGCCCACGATGGTTGGAGGGGCGCCGCCGTTCACGCCTGAGCAGGCCCTCCCCGCAGGACGCCCCCCCCCTCCGGCCTCCGCCGAGCCAAAGAGCCGAGATTTCACCCTCGCGCATGTCCCACCCCCTTTCGCGGTGACGTCATGATTGACAGGATGAAGTAGCCCCCTTAGACCAAAGATCCAATGATCCCAAAAATACTGAAATATATTAGACAAGCTAGATCGCAATACCTTAGAATTAAAACATTTCCGGTACTTTGTAACACCTTGATGTGAAGTTCAGAACCCCTCTGGAACCAGAACAGAAAGGACCAAAGCAAGACATCCAGAGCAAACCAAATGGCTTAAAATCCCGGCCGCTCTTCTACAACAGTTCTACAACATCTCTCATATGTGGCTAAATAGCAGTGGAATGTAACCAGCTATGAAATCCGCACAGAAGAAAATTTCTGGTATCTGTTTTGGGCAAATCATCATTTAAAAAAATGACCTGGAATGCCAGCTTCCAGCTAAAAGGACAACCCACCCCCCTTAGTTTGACTGGATAGGAATTAGGTCACAATCCACAGAGCCTCAAAAGACTCCATATTTTAGTCATTGTGGTATCCAGTCTTTAAAAATCTGTATTCCAGGAAATGGCTTTTTGTGCCTGCTAGCAAAATCAGTCCACCAGTCCTCCATGACTCCATGGGGGAGATAATATAAACCATAAAGCCTCATTCTGCCTACAGACGTGGGTGTGGGGATTTTGCATGCAAAGCATTACACTCTAATTATCAGCTTTATCATTTCTCAGGGTCCCACAAGTTCTAAATCTTCCAACCTAATTCCTGTTTCTGCACCAACATTAAAATTAATTAATGGGATGTGAACTGACACTAACAAATTATTGATATATGTATGAAGCAGCTGAAATAATAGCCTTCCGATGATATATGAAGCAGATTTTTAACTTTTAACAAATTTAAGAGCTCTCCTCATGGCTTCTGTTACTATTGTTGCTCCAGCCTTTTGCTGTGGAGGTTCAGCAGACAGAAGAGCTTGGGAAGCGTACTTCCTCTTTCTGCTCCCATTGGCTCCTATTACGGTGGTAACCCAGAAGCTCTCAATCTTGTATCCAGTATGAATCCTCTGTCTCCAATCTGAATTTACAGAGAATCTGCTGAGAATTGAGCAGTCTATTTTAAGAATTGATGGAACACCTGATCAAATATTTGATCTTACTCTATCTCCCCCAGTGCTACAACAAGTGTTAAGAGATACTCCTATGATCATTGTCCCAGTGACTGAGTTTAGAATGAAGAGAAAGAAAAGTGAAACCATGGATCACTCACTAAAGGACAAGTTCCTGAGTACTAAGGGTGACAATCCCCTTCATGGGTTGCTGCCTTGTCGTGGCGAAGGGACTTGAGTAATTCAGAGAAGCTATGGGCTATGCCACACAGGGACACCCAAGATGGACAGGTCATAGTGGAGAGTTCTGACTAAACGTGATCCACCTGGAGCAGGAACTGGCAAGCCACTCCAGTATCTTCACCAAGAAAACTCCATGGACAGAAACAAAAGGCTGAAAGATATGACGCTGGAAGATGGGTCCCTCAGGTCAGAGGGGGTCCAACATGTTACTGAGGAAGAGTGGAGGACAAGTACAAGTACTTCCAGAGCTAATGAATTGGTTGGGCCAAAGCCGAAAGGACGCTCAGCTGTGGACGCGCCTGGAAGTGAAAGGAAAGTCTGATGCTGCAAAGAAAAACAATGCATAGGAACCTGGAAGGTAAGATCTATGAACTTTGGTAAGCTGGATGTGGTCAAACAGGAGATGGCAAGAATAAACATTGACATCCTGGGCGTCAATGAACTAAAATGGTCGGGAATGGGCGAAGTCAATTCAGATGATTACCATATCTACTATTGTGGGCAAGAATCCCGTAGAGGAAATGGAGTAATCCTCATAGTCAGCAAATGAGTGGGAAAAGCTGTACTGGGATACAATCTTAAAAATGATAGAATGATTTCGATATGAATCCAAGGCAGACCTTACAACATCACAGTAATGCAAGTTTGTGCACCAACCACCGATGCTGAAGAGGCTGAAATTGACCACTTCTATGAAGACTTAGAACACCTTCTAGAACTGGCACCAAAGAAAGATGTTCTTGTCATTATAGGGGACTGAAATGCTAAAGTAGTAGTCAAGAGATAAAAGGAACAACAAGTAAGTTTGGCCTTGGAGTCCAAAACAAAGCAGGACAAAGGCTAATAGAGTTTTGTCAAGAGAACAAGCTGGTCATCACAAACACTCTTTTCCAACAACACAAGAGGTGGCTCTACACATGGACATCACCAGATGGGCAATACCAAAATCAGATTGATTATGTTCTTTCAGTCAAAGATGGAGAAGCTCTATACAGTCAGCAAAAACAAGACCTGGAGCTGATTGTGGCTCTGATCATCAGCTTCTCATAGCAAAATTCAAACTTAAACTGAAGAAAGTAGGAGAAACCAC